ATGGAGAATGGCAGACCTGCAGGCTGCATACAAGTTTTTATTGCTGAGATCACTTGTACAAAACAAGCGGCAGCTTCCACCGCTCTACATTTAGCTCTGCTTGGCCAAAGCCGGGCCAACTACCCGCCCGGCGCTCAGAACTGCATGTCCCGGGCATTGAGAGATAGGAATTCCACAACCCTACTGACCCTCTGCCCCTCTACTCCCTGCTGCCCCAAGGCTTGGCCTTGGTTGGCCTTTTGGGAAATCCGGCCCCGAGTACACACACCTGCCATTGCTCTCCCCATCAACGTGAATGGCTTGTATAAGGCTGGGCAGATCGTACTTGCGATGATCGCAAGCCACGCCCCCTGAGGTGCGAGCTTCCGATGACCGCAATGCCGAACGGGCAGTGTGCGCACACCGGCCCGTACGGCTTTTATCGTACGGACATGCCACAAACCCGCCGAACGTTGTACGATGCTCGGCGGGTTTTCGAACATGTTCGTAAGTTAAAAGTTGTGCGACCGTACAGTAGTAGAGGTCGCACGGCTTCCACACACCTTACGATCATCGTACGATCGCGGGATTTCCCGCGATTCTCGTACGAGAATCGAGCAGTGTATGGGCACCTTTACACAGCAGAGGCAGCTGTCGGAATGCAGTGACTGCAGGTCTGTAAATGTCACCGAGCAATACAATGTATCCTTCCGTTGGATTTCCTATTCCTCTATATGTGGAGGAAAGGTGTCACCATGACATCAGCTACAGAAACCGAACCGGCCCATTCACACCCAATGCATTTGGGCTACGCTGGGTGTTTTTTCCAGCACAGCCGCCATGTATGACAACTGGTTGCAGTGGTGTATGCTGGGGGGGAAAAAAAAAAGACGGTATGCAGTACTTTTTTTTAGTGCGGTGTGATGCGGGGGCGTCCCGAGGCCGTGTGTCACCCGGAGCGGAGACCGGGGGACACCCCCGCTGTGACGTGCACGATGACGTCAACGCGCATGCACGGTCATCTAATTAACGCCTGCCAGAGAGAAGGGGGGACGTTCACCTCCTCTCTCCTGGCACAGTCAGGCTCCTGGTCCATGACGGAGTGCCTGACTTTTTAGAGGGGGGCGACACCAAAATGACTGTCGGTCATTTTGGTGTCACCCCTCCAATGGTAATCAGTAGAATAATCCAACATGTCCACTTATTGGACATAGACGTCACACAATCACAAGAGCCAACGTTTCGAGACCACGCAGGGTCTCTTCATCAGGGCTTAAAGAGTGACCCAGGGCATAAAGAAGTCACTCTTTATGCCCTGATGAAGAGACCCTGTGCTGGTGATTCCTCTTCCTACATTGTGTCTGCACGGTGCCATCCGTGTTCATCACTACAAGCACCATTTCTACATAGGCCTTGATTGCTGCAAGGTGTGCGGAGGATTTCCCCTTCTATCCAACCCCTCCAATGGTGTCACCGGGGTGCGGGCTGCACCCCCCTTGTGACGCCACTGGTGTGATGCATTACAACCTCATTGCACCGTGCTGTGCCCATAGAACTTGTGACATTTCAATTAAATAAAAAAAAGGAAAGTGTGATGTGTCGCAGTCATGTGAGCGGCTGCTGGTGTGCATGGGCACTACAGGTATAACAAAAAAAAATATAGATTTTTTTTATTATTTAAAGGGTTAATGGAGACTTAGTAGGAATATATTTTATTAAAAAGATATTTATATATATATAAAACATTTTCTCTTTTTAATAAAATATATTCCTATGTATGTCCCCATTAACCCTTTAATTGAAATCAGACACAATTAACTCCTTCCTCCCTAAAGCTATAAAGCTATTCATTTTCAACCGAATCAACATTTAATTTTCTTATTTTGTTTCTCGTTATGTGTTCAGTGAAAAAAACAAAACACAAAAACCTTTTTCATTGGTAAATAAAACATCATTTTCATGTCATTTTAAACTGGACTAATTATGTACAATAAAAGGATTTGTTTCTATATACAAGTTGCACCAGTCAAAATAGAAAGAAAAAAAAAGATCTATAGATTTCATTGAAAATAAAATACTTTTTGAAAGACAATATTGCCAAAATAAAGCCGTGCCTGTCGCAGAAAACAACATTCAGAGACAACAACAGAGATTTCTTCTCTCATACACAGATTGCCCACCTGGCTCTCCCCTCATACACAGATTGCCCGCCTGGCTCTCCCCTCATACACAGCGTGCCCGCCTGGCTCTCCCCTCATACACAGTGTGCCCGCCTGGCTCTCCCCTCATACACAGATTGCCAACCTAGATCTCCCCTCATACACAGTGTGCCCGCCTGGCTCTCCCCTCATACACAGATAGCCCGCCTGGCTCTCCCCTCATACACAGATTGCCAACCTAGATCTCCCCTCATACACAGATTGCCCGCCTGGCTCTCCCCTCATACACAGATTGCCCACCTGGCTCTCCCCTCATACCCAGATTGCCAACCTAGATCTCCCCTCATACACAGCGTGCCCACCTGGTTCTCCCCTCATACACCGAGTGCCCACCTGGCTCTCCCCTCATACACAGAGTGCCCGCCTTGCTCTCCCCTCATACACAGATTGCCCACCTAGATCTCCCCTCATACACCGAGTGCCCGCCTGGCTCTCCCCTCATACACCGAGTGCCCGCCTGGCTCTTCCCTCATACACAGATTGCCAACCTAGATCTCCCCTCATACCCAGATTGCCCGCCTGGCTCTCCCCTCATACACAGATTTCCCGCCTAGCTCTCCCCTCATACACAGATTACCCACCTGGCTCTCCCCTCATACACAGAGTGCCCGCCTTGCTCTCCCCTCATACACAGAGTGGCCGCCTGGCTCTCCCCTCATACACAGATAGCCCACCTGGCACTCCCCTCATACACAGATTGCCCGCCTGGCTCTCTCCTCATCCATTGCTCAGTCCATCATATTTTGTCTTGTCCCCTCTGACCCTTGGTCATATCATGGTCCAGTGCCCGGGGACTAGGACCACTCACCTAGGAGAAGGCAGGCCCAGGATACACTTGGCAGGTACATAGGTGCTCCTCGCTGTGATCAGACCACAATGCCTGCGATGTCAGCTGCAGCTAATACCACTGAGTCTGTAGAATGCAGGTCAACCAGTTCTCAGCAGCATTGTATATCTCTGTGATAAACGGGAACCAGAACCTCACCCTCAGGTCTATAGACACCGACGTCATCTCTAATGACATCACCTGCTCTGGCTGGGAGGCCACGATGAGCCTTGTAGTTCCTCACCTAACCTGCCCATAGGACTGTGTGGCAGTCTCTCCCTCCAGGAGAAAGCACACCTGAGCTGATCTGTATCAATGGTGATTGTGTGTGG